ATTTCTCTTGGAATTTATAATTATTACATTTTACTTTGATAGATAGGGTTTTCTCTCCATGTTTATGGCTTTCTTCCTCCCAACTGAAGACACCTAGAGAACAGGAAACAGATAGTCTCCATCTTTGCAAATGTCCCTTGTCCTTGAGCATATAGTGCAAAACCTTGAATGTAGTAGCCATCTAATCATGACTTAAAATTTTTTTTATTTTGAAAGAGGATTGGTTCAAGATGGCGGAGTAGAAGGACATGCGCTCACTCCCTCTTGCGAGAGCACCAGAATCACAATTAACTGCTGAACAATCCACAGGAAGACACTGGAACTCACCAAAAAAGATACCCTACATCCAAAGACAAAGGAGAAGCCACAGTGAGATGGTAGGGGTGGCACAATCACAATAAAATCAAATCCCATAACTGCTGGGTGGGTGACACGCAAACTGGAGAACACTTATACCACAGAAGTCCACCCACCAGAGTGAAGGTTCTGAGCCCTACATCAGGCTTCCGAACCTGGGGGTCCGGCAACGGAAGGAGGAATTCCTAGAAAATCAGACTTTGAAGGCTAGCGGGATTTGATTGCAGGACTTCGACAGGGTTGGGGGAAACAGAGACTCCACTCTTAGAGGGCACACACAAAGCAGTGTGCGCATCGGGACCCAGGGAAAGGCGCACTGACCCCATAGGAGACTGAACCAGACCTACCTGCTAGTGTTGGAGGTTCTCCTGCAGAGGTGGGGGGTGGCTGTGGCTCACCGTGAGGACAAGGACACTGGCAGCAGAAGTTCTAGGGAGTAGTCCTAGGCATAAGACCCCCCCAGAGTCCACCATTAGCCCTACCAAAGAGCCCAGGTAGGCTCCAGTGTTGGGTCGCCTCAGGCCAAACAACCAACAGGGAGGGAACCCAGCCCCACCCATCAGCAAACAAGCTGATTAAAGTTTTACTGAGCTTTGCCCACCAGAGCAACACCGAGCTCTACCCACCACCAGTCCCTCCCATCAGGAAACTTGCACAAGCCTCTTAGATAGCCTCATCCACCAGAGGGCAGACAGCAGAAGCAAGAAGAACTACAGTCCTGCAGCCTGTGGAACAAAAATCACATTCACAGAAAGACAGACAATGTGAAAAGGCAGAGGGCTATGTACCAGATGAAGGAACAAGATAAAACCCCAGAAAAACAACTAAATGAAGTGGAGATAGGTGATCTTCCAGAAAAAGAATTCAGAATAATGACAGTGAACGTGATCCAGGACCTCAGAAAAAGAATGGAGGCAAAGATCGAGAAGATGCAAGAAATGTTTAACAAAGACCTAGAAGAATTAAAGAACAAACAAACAGAGATGAACAATACAGTAACTGGAATGAAAAATACACTAGAAGGAATCAATAGCAGAATAACTGAGGCAGAAGAACGGATGAGTGACCTGTAAGACAGAATGGTGGAATTCACTGCCACAGAACAGAATAGAGAAAAAAGAACGAAAAGAAATGAAGACAGCCTAAGAGACCTATGGGACAACGTTAAACGTGACAACATTTGCATTACAGGGGTCCCAGAAGGAGAAGAGAGAGAGAAAGGACCCGAGAAAATATTTGAAGAGATTATAGTCAAAAACTTCCCTAACATGGGAAAGGAAATAGCCACCCAAGCTCAGGAAGCACAGAGAGACCCAGACAGGATAAACCCAAGGAGAAACATGCTGAGACACATAGTAATCAAATTGACAAAAATTAAACACAAAGAAAAATTATTGAAAGCAACAAGGGCAAAATGACAAGTAACATACAAGGGAACTCCCGTAAGGTTAACAGCTGATTTCTCAGCAGAAACTCTACAAGCCAGAAGGGAGTGGCAATGATATATTTAAAGTGATGAAAGGGAAGAACCTACAACCCAGCTTAGTCTACCCGGCAAGGATCTCATTCAGATTCCACAGAGAAATCAAAAGCTTTACAGATAAGCAAAAGCTAAGAGAATTCAGCACCACCAAACCAGCTCTACAACGAATGGTAAAGGAACTTCTCTAAGTGGGAAACACAAGAGAAGAAAAGGACCTACAAAAACAAACCCAAAACAATTAAGAAAATGGTCATAGGAACATACATATTGATAATTACCTTAAATGTGAATGGATTAAATGCTCCAACCAAAAGACACAGGCTTGCTGAATGGAGACAAAAACAAGACCCATATATATGCTGTCTACAAGAGACCCACTTCAGACCTAGGAATACATACGGACTGAAAGTGAGGGGATGGAAAAAGATATTCCATGCAAATGGAATTCAAAAGAAAGCAGGCGTAGCAATAATCATACCAGATAAAATAGACTTTAAAATGAAGAATGTTACAAGAGACAAGGAAGGACACTACATAATGACTGGGGATCAATCCAAGAAGAAGATATAACAATTACAAATATATATGCACCCAACATAGGAGCACCTCAATACATAAGCCAATTGCTAACAGCTATAAAAGAGGAAATTGACAGTAACACAATAATAGTGGGGGACTTTAACACCTCACTTACACCAATGGACAGATCATCCAAACAGAAAATTCATAAGGACACACAAGCTTTAAATGACACAATAGACCAGATAGATTTAATTGATATTTATAGGACATTCCATCCACAAACAGCAGATTACACTTTCTTCTCAAGTGTGCATAGAACATTCTCCAGGATAGATCACATCTTGGGTCACAAATCAAGCCTCAGTAAATTTAAGAAAATTGAAATCATATCAAGTATCTTTTCCGACCACAACACTATGAATTAGAAATGAATTTCAGGGAAAAAAACGTAAAAAACACAAACACATGGAGGCTAAACAATACATTAATAAATAACCAAGAGATCACTGAAGAAATCAAAGAGGAAACCAAAAATACCTAGACACAAATGACAACGAAAACACGATGATCCAAAACCTATGGGATGAAACAAAAGCAGTTCTAAGAGGGAAGTTTATAGCAATACAAGCCTACCTCAAGAAACAAGAAAAATCTCAAATAAACAATCTAACCTTACACTTAAAGGAACTGGAGAAAGAAGAACAATCAAAACCCAAAGTTAGGGCTTCCCTGGTGGCGCAGTGGTTGAGAATCTGCCTGCCGATGCAGGGGACACGGGTTCGTGGCCCGGTCCGGGAAGATCCCACACGTCGCGGAGCGGCTAGGCCCGTGAGCCATGGCCGCTGAGCCTGCGCGTCAGGAGCCTGTGCTCCGCAACGGGAGAGGCCACAACAGTGAGAGCCCCGCGTACCGCAAAAAAAAAAAGAAAGAAAAAAAGAAAAAAAAGGCAAAGACTAAGAGGTATGGGTTGCTGGACACAGTTTTTGATGGAGAGTATGCATTGGGGTGTGGCGGGGGTGGGGGGGGAGCTTTCAAGCAGCCATGGGGTAAAAAAGAAAGGAATAAGCAGGATAATTTAAAAAGTATTAGCATGGATTATAAATTAGATCTTAAAAATGTTCTTTAAGAGAGACAAAGTTAGATATATATTTTTTAAATTGTTGTTAATTTTGGCTCCTGTATCATGTTTGTTCAAACACGAAATCACACTAGGACTAGATCACATGTGACCAAGGAACTACTCAGGTTACAAAAGTGATGCATTTTTACTTCAAAACACACACTCTTGGTTACACCAGTCATAATTACATACGTAGTGATTTAGGGAATCATGTAGCCAGGAAGGAGTAAAACAAAGCAAAACTCTTCACACATTAATTTTTTTTTAAAAGTAACTTAAAAGCCTAAAAAGTAATACATTTTATTAGTCAATTCAAAAAGCAATGAGATAGTATTTTCACCTAGTAAATATTTTGGAAAGTATCTACACATAGGAAGTGAATTCTACGTTTTTAATACCCAACCCTCCCAAAACTTAAAAACCCGTATATTACTTGTCGGGATTACAAGTTGAGTCAGAGTTTTTGGAAAATAATATGGCAACATATATTAAGAGACTTAAAACTATTTGTAATCTTTAGTGGAATAATTACCCTGAAACAATAATCAAAAATGGAGTCAGAATATGGCCTATTATATACCAGTTGAAATCAGGTTTTAATAAATATGTAAAAAAGTAAATATCCATATATATAAAATGACTTCTATTTTGTAAAGATATCTATACTATACACCCATGTAGACAAAAGGCTAGAAGGAAATACTCCAAATGTCAAGTTTTATTGGACTGTTAGAATTAGGAATGAGGGTTTTTTTTTTCTGCTTTTTAAAATAAAATGTGTATGGGTGGGTATGGGTTTAATAATGTGACAAAAATAAACATTTTAGGAAAAAAAAAAAAACTAGTCCTAACCTAAGCCAATCTCATTCACTTTGCCTAGCAAAGGATTCTGCTAAATTTTCTACCAAAGAAACTTGACATGCAGACCTATCAAATAGATTTGTCACTGTCTCTTCAAAGGAGGGAATTCTGTTTCAAATTCATCCTTAGCCCAAAGCAGCTAATTTGATTTTATCAGTCATCAGCAAAGTCCTTACATTAAATAATTTATGCATTTCTTAGCTCCATCCCTACAGGGCAAGATTCAGTACTTAATGGAAACCATCACACCATTAGACTGTTAGAGCTCATCTAACATGTTGGCTTTGAGAAGCCTCAAGCCTGAAGTATTGAGTGGTCACTTAGAGCATGTCTATTTGATCTGACAGCACTAGAGAGGAATGCGGAGGTGGAAACAAGACAAAGAAATCACGATGTGTACATATCAGCCTTGGGATAGAAGGTCTGGAAAAAAAAAATGCAAGGACATGAGTGGCAAAAGCAGGGGCAAACATGATTGTCTGGTGGATGTCCATGGATGGGATATTTTCATTAAAAATTAGCTAAATGCCAGCAGCAAAGTACCTCTCCCGGCTGCAAGACCTTCCCGGATCAGCCTCCTTCTCCTGAGCATCTGCTGTCTTGAGAGGTCTTCAAGTATCTGTTTCTCGTTAACGGTCTAACTCATCTCCAGCCTTATCTAAAATCATACCTGGGCTTGCTCTTCTGTGCCTCTTCATTTCGCTTTCTTTCTGTTCCTGGCGTTAGAACTGAATTTAATTTGTTCATTGTTAAAGGGCTTTTCATCACTAGATTTCTTGGGAAGTTCTGACACTTGGTGTTATTCCCCTGACAAGTCGGTTTTGAGGATGAATCAGGTGTAGCTTGTCAGTTGCTTTGAAAACAAATCTCCTTGCAGCTAGAGAGTTGCTATGAGTGGTGTTCCCGGCTTTGTTTCAGGATCCAGTGTGATTCTGAGACAGGTAGGGAAAAGAGGAGCCATTTTATTTCTAGAAATATCATCTCAGTTTCATGTCTGTTGGCTAGAGTAATAACAGTAAACACACTGCAGGGATGCCTTAGAAGTACATGGGCTCCAGGGATTCAGGCAATGGTCTGTATTAAGAGAGACTTGTAAGAAGCTGGGATAAAATACAGATGCTGGACTAAAACCTTTCTACAGAAATGGCAGAGAGGAAAGGGTCCATTAGATTCCTTAACAAGTCATCTCTCTGGTTCATCTACAGTCTGCATTTCACCCTTTTACCAGGAAGTATAAAATCAAAGAAGGTGAGGATACAAGCTTCTAGTTAGAAGACGAAGTTCTGGAAATCTGACATTCAGCATGGTGATTATAGTTAACAATAATGTATTATATACCTGAAAGTTGTTAACTGAGTAGACCTGAAATGTCTTTACCACAGAAGAGAAATGGCAATTATGTGACATGATGGAAGTGTCAGCTAACGCTACAGTGGTAATAATTTTGCAACATATTAATTATATCATATCAACACATTGTAATCTTAAACATTGTATACAATGTTGTATGTCAATTACATCTCAATAAAGCTGGAAAAAAATTTTAAGTGAAGAAGGTGAAATCCAGTGTTCCACAGCCTTTATCTAGCTAGAAGAGGCAAGAGGGCTGACCACAATCTCATGAGCAGCTTGCCACTTCTTTGATACCCTGTACCAAAAATCATGCTGTATGTAGAATAACATGAATGAAAAACACATCCAACATGTAGAGATAAAAAAAAGCATAGAATCTTTTTTGTTCTAGAAATTCTCAAATTTCAGGCATCTTTCTGGCGTTTCTGAAATTGACAGTCCACCCAGCCTTCCCTTTGGCTTGGCTACTGCTGACAGGACATGCACCACCCTCTATTTTTGTGATCCAGCTGTGGATGCTCAGCAGAGTCAGTGCTGTGTTCACCTCCATTCACTGCAGCTTCATCCAGGGGGACCAGCCCAGGGGCACATGTTTCAGCTTATATCATGTCTTATTCATTCATTCATTCGCTTGGGTTGTTTAGGGTGGAGTGGGGGGATCACCTTATTCATGGTCTTTAAAAAATTTTTTACCCATGCCATGGATTTCGGCTGGATAAATATGTGATTTGGGCTCCCCAGTGAGCTAACCTTCTCATCAGTGTTACTCAAACACATTCTGTCCTATGGTTGTTACTATAAGTGAGGAGCGTCCTCTACTCACACCTTAGTGCAGAATCTTTCTCTAGCTTTGGTATGCATCCCAGTCAATGGTGGCTTGTTAAAAATGGTCTGAAGTCTGGTGCAGGGATCTGGACTTTAACAGGATTCCCAAGTGATTCTGATGCAGGTAATCTCTTTAATTTGCTCCAATATTGGCATAGTGGTTTTAAAAATCAAAGAACAGGGGATCCACAATTCTTGCTGTTTTATTCTGAGAGCAGTTCTCACACTCTATCTTGGTGCCTCATCCCTCTGGGGCATTTTCTGCAACTGCTGTGCTCCTCAGCCCCTAGAAATAGCTCATTGTCTTTCCTTCCATCTGCACGTGGGCATTTCTTAACATAGGCTGTGCCCTGCGTTTCCTTTCTATTACCACCATAGCCCTTGAGATTTCTCATATTAAATGCGAGAAAATTAGGATCAGAGAGTCCTGAATTCAAAACCCAGCTCTTTTACTTTCTAGCCATGCGATCTGGGCAAGTTCCATAAGCTTTTCCAGCCTCCTTGTCTGTAAAATGGAGAATGACAACATTATTCACCTCATGGAGTTGCCGTGAACTATAAAAGAGTTACTGCATGCTAATAGTTGCTGAATGAATAAAAGTTTGGTACAATGAAGATTCCATATGCTAACTAATCATTTTCAATATTCTTGTTGTTTAATTCAGTCAATATTCTTGTTGTTTAATTCAGTAGGTGTGCATTCAACTCTTACTATGCTTATTATTGCGTGTGAATCGCCCTTTAGGGGAATTTGTCATTTTCTTCCCAGGCAGAAGTGTTTTTAGCCTACATTAACATTTCCTCTTGCCTTAATGTTTCCCTTTTGGATCACTGTCAGTTGTTTCCATCTTCTCTTATAGCTTATCCTTTAAACTATTTTGCTAATATTTTTACTTTTTTTCCTTCTTCCAATTCAGCATATCCCAATTCTTGCCACACGTGCTGGAAAGAGAACAGGACCCTTTAGTAGGCAAGTGACGATGACATATACAAGGTACATTCTTTCCTTTCAATTAAAAGGCACTCAGCTAGGGCCTCCTGCTAATAGGGAGGTAAATCAGTCACATTTCTGAGAAACAATTAGTTACACTTATATTTTCATTGAATTTTCACTCCTCCAGTTTCACATATGTTGCCTGCCACTTTCCTTGTTATCTCATGCTTATGTAATTTTTTCCCCCCTTTTTTCACCCTTACCTTCTCTTTTGATTTAAATTAAGCTTGGTTGGTATTTCTTTGAAAAGAAAACACAAGCTTGTTGGCTTGGGAGGTTTTTTCAAGGCCTCTCTGCTCTAGTAAAATCCTACATACGTAGGTCCTGCAAACCAACATTATTTTTGCTGTACAAACACCACGTGCATGTTCTAAGACATGAGCCCTCTGTGTAAGATCCTTTCACACATGCAAAAACAGCTGACATGTCAGCACTTCCATAGAGTGAAAACAAAAGGATACTGGTTCAGAAAGGTCAGGGCTATTCTCCTGGGGCTGGTGCATGGCATACCTTGACTTTCATCCCCAGCATGAGCAACATGATGCTGGATACTCCAATTTTATACATTCTTATACATAGTCTGCTCCCAAAGATGTGCCTCAAATTGTGAATTCCTCCAATAGAACAAGTGTTAGTTTTCTACTGTCATGTAATTATACTACCACAGACTTAATGGCTCAAAGCAACAAACATTTATTATCTCACAGTCTCTGTACGCCAGGACTTTGGGCGTGGCTTTAGCTGGATCTTCTGATTAGTCTCAAAAGACTTCAGAGTTTTGGCAGGGGCTGTGGTCTCACCTGGGACTTGTGTGGGTAAGGACTCACTTCTAAGCTCACTTAAGTTGTTGGCAGAATTCAATTCCTTCCTCTAGTAGGACCGAGAGCTTCTTGCTGGCTGTCAGTCAAGGATGTCATCAGCTCCAAGAGGCTGCTCACAGTTCCCTGCCACATGGGGTTCCCCAGCATGGCCTCTTCACACCTCAAAGCTAGTGAGGCAGAGAGAGAGAGAGTGAGGGGGGGGGGGGGGGGGGGGGGGGGAAGGGGAGGGGGAGGAGAAACGAGCTGTATAGTAACAGAAGCCTATAAAACTCGAATGCTTTATGATCCTATAAAGTGTGTTTCAGCAGAAAGAAAATAAGACTAGAAGATCATACTTTTGAGTGCTAACGGTGGGTATATCTGGGTGATAAGTTATGAGTAATCTTGTTTACATTTTTACACATTTTTACATTCCAAATGTTTCCAATAAGCATGCAAGAGCTTTGATTTTAGTTTAACATTCAAACTAATAGAAGCATATATTTTAAAAAGGAAAATATCACCCCAAGGCTTTAAGATAAAAGCAGCAGCCTTCTGCAGCTCCCCATCTCATCTCCGAATCCCACTTCCCAGAAAAGGAATTTCTTCTGGTGCACTAAATAAGATAAGTATAATGCTATTTCTTTTTTTTTTTTTTTCAGTTTTAGATATTATCCATTGACTTGTTAGAAAGATGAAAGATGAAGATTTAGTTCTCCTTCCCCATTCACCCCTTATATGCATATATTTCTCTTCTCTCCAAATCCCCAATAAGTAATATATTTATGCATGATTAAATATAATAATAATTATTATCATTATTGTAAGTGCTGTTCATTGATAGCATATATGGTACTATGATTATGTGATTTTTTTTCTATAGAACTCTCTGTTTTTCTTGGAATTGATAATTGCCTCACTTTTACCTATCTTTTGTTTTCTATCTACCTAGCAATAATTCATCCTCACACTCTCTAAAAGAACTCTTCACCTCCTCTCAACATGGTCATGCACATCAGCTAAATTGATACCTAATCCTCCAGTGCCGCTTTTAGAAGACTAATGCCATTCTGATCGCTGATTCTTTATGCAAGACTCATTATTCTGTCCAGAGGCTTTTAGGATGTTTTCTTTATTGTGATGCTTCAAACTTCATGATAATCTACCTTGTTGTGAGTCATTCTGTATTCATTTTGTTGAACACTAGATGTCCCTTTCAATCTGAAAACTTATACAGATCTAAGAAATTTTTCACATTGTTTTGAAAAATTTCTCCTCTTACTTCTTTCAGCAGGGCTTCAGGGTTTTTGTTTGCTGGTTTGGTTTGATTTAGCTTTGTTTTTACTCTTATAGAAATTCTGCAATGAACAACCTCGGGCATACTTCCTTGAGCTCACTGGTAAATTTTTCTGTACAGTAAATACTGAGGTACAAAGTAAAACTTCTACGTTATAGAATATATATATGTTCAAAGTTCATGCAGGAAATGCACGCTTCCAATATGGAAAAAAAAATCCTCAACATAATTAGATAATTTTTTCAGTGCTTAATTAAAATACGTCCACATGACAGTATCATATTTTGCTTTTTATAATGCTCACAACTTCATTTTTTTTTTTTCTTTTTGTATTTTTGCGGTACGCGGGCCTCGCACTGTTGTGGCCTCTCCCGTTGCGGAGCACAGGCTCCAGACGCGCAGGCTCAGCGGCCATGGCTCACGGGCCTAGCCGCTCCGCCGCACGTGGGATCTTCCCGGACCGGG